CATCATTTCATCCCCAAATAATATGAGCCAGATTTTTAAGACCTTTCAGGAAGCTGAGCCCTTTTGAAAACTGGACATAAATGTCACAATGGGAATTGTTGGTGCTCAGATATTTGGGGGGAAGGGTGGAAATCTGGCCTCAAACATCGACTTGAGCATTTGAAAATCTAATCCTGATGAAGTTTGAAAAATCTGACCCATTAGCAAATGTTTTTAACTAGTTTAAGGCTTCTGTTTCAAGTGATATCACGCTGATAACCAAATGCAGGACATCATGTACTGGTAAATATCATTCACTTAAAAGTTAGGTTCATTCCCTCTGGGGCACCTGGTATTGGCCACTGTCAGTAGACAGGATACTGGGCTGGATGGACTTTTGGTCTGACCCAGTATGGCCGTTCTTATGTATACTGAAACTTACAGTTCATGAAAAAAGCATAAGCTTATGCTCCCAGTACTTCTGTTAGTCTCAAAGGTGCCACAGGACCCTCTGTTGCTTTTTACAGATTCAGACTAACACGGCTACCCCTCTGATACTTGAGTTCATGAAAAAGAGCAAAACCTCCACTTTCAGCCTAGATGCAGAGTAGAGTAATGTGTACTTTACTGTGTACAAACAAAAAAAGGTACTTTCTTAGGGTATGTCTACACTTGTAGAGTTTTTGCGGTGTAAGTTTCACCAGTGATAGGGAACCAGTGAAAGTAAAGCGTTGGTTTGTGTACTCACTCAATTCTTCAGGCGTCAGAGAGTGTTTACACTAGCAGCACTTCCATAGGGCAGCTATCCCACAGTGCAGCTCTCTCCATAGGTCTTGTGGGAAGGGGTGGGTGAGCAGAAGGCATTCTGGATCCCTGCTCAGTGCCCCATGCTGCCCTGCTTCATGTCCCAGCAGCCCTATTACTTCCTTGTTTCTTTTGTGGCTATTTTTTTTTTTTAAACCCTGCAGTCTAGCTGCTTTCCCTGCCATATCTACAAGGAAAGGGGGTTTACCTTGTGTCAGAGCAGCGGAGATGCTGGCCAGAGCAGTCACTTTTGGAACTGTGGGATATCCTTCAGAGGCCAAAAGAAGTTTACGCTGGTAGAACGTGTCTTCACTTTCACAACAGCGCAAAAAGAACAGCGGTAAGAGCAATATGCCTCTTGTGAAAGTGGTTTTCACTGCAAAAAGTCATTAACAAGTGTAGACGCTCCAGCGGTTTTAGTGCAAAAAAGGGACTTTAAATGGTGAGTGTAAGCATAGCCTTTCTCAAAAGATCTGCTCTATGCCCACAGTCAGAGTTACTGACTTTAGTGACAAACCCCCCACATTTTTAGTCCCACAGAACCAGTACAACTAAAGCAACAGATTATATTCCATCTGGTGTATCAACAACAGAATTGCCAATCAGTTACACCTGTGCAAGCTCATTGGTGACTCATGCATTGCACAGCTGCTGCTGAATGCATGATTGTAAAACACCAGGTTGCAGAGGTGTAATTGAAGGCTCTGTGTGACAGGCCAGCCTTTCTTTATTAGTAACAATGAGGCACAAAGTGCCATTTTGTATTGATTTATCTTTTAGAGCAGACCAACAGTTAAAGGAAAACTAAGCTCAAATGTAAAAGCATGCATTACTTGCTCTGTAAAAGCCATCCTGAATTGACACCCAGCCCTTCCTCCCAGCAGAACAGCTGCTTCCATTTAAAGGGAAGGGCACTGAAAATGGAATCACAAAATCTAGTTCACAGCTATATTGCTACATACACCACAAAAACAAAATTCTTCCCCTTTTCCTCTTGTTCTCACTTGCTGGTTACACCAGTCCCTCTCAGAGAGGTGAGCGTGATGGAACGGACTTGGTGCAAAATCAGGCAGCTACATACACAATTTACTGAAAATATATTTTTCTTTGGCAAATGATCTCTCCCAGGAGACCTAATCAGATTTAATTGGCCATGCTGGATGCTGTGGTATCACTGCTAGAGGGAAAGCCCTGCCATTGCTTCCCCACCCCCTGGACAGGCAGAAAGATCCCCTCTTACAGCATGGCCTCCCTCAATCTATTTAAGAGATTTCACAACTTCAGTTGTGAAATCAGGGCAATGATCTGATTTTCTACCTGCCAGACACCAAAAATTGGCTTCTTGCAGCCTGTATGTTACTAATTTGATGTTCTCCTGGAAGTGAAAAGACTTTGCTTACATTACGTAGCAAGTCTTCATACTGAAGGATTCTGTAAAACCCATATTAACAAAATCCACAGTATCTTAGAACAGTCTAAAGTGTTTCCTGGATCATATGATAAGACCATCTACAAAAAACAACCAACCAACCCTCTGTGTATGGGAATGTAAGTTATCCTGAATTCTCATTTATTTGTCTGTGCAGCTCCAGGCTGTATCTTGTTTCATTGTAGTCTAAAGTCAAGGAAGAGTAAGAAAGGTTATGATTGTTACATAAGATAAACAGGAACTTGTTTTAGTCCAGAGTGTGTATTTAAACAGTACCGAGTTTAAATAAATAATATTCAGGCTGCTGGCATGTGACATAAATATTAGATTTTGGCTCACACTGAGGGAAACTGTTCCAAGTGCTGCTTAAATAAATGTCTGCATATACATGCCAAAATTGGTCTCTGCTCATGAGTTGTTTTAAAAGAGGAAAATACTGAGACAGTGTGACCCAGCAGAAAGCACGAAGAGCCAGGACTCCTGAATTCTTTGAGCTTTGCACTGATTCACTGCAAGACCTTAAGCCCAATCACTTACCGCACTGTACCATCATTGATCCATCTATATACCTCCCTCCTGAGCACTGAGAGAATGAGCTAGTTAATAAAAATGAGGAGTCCTTGTGGCACCTTAGAGACTAACAAATTTAATTGGGCATAAGTTTTCATAGGCTATAAAGTGCTTTGGAAAAAAATTTCAACCTACTAAAAATAACACCCGTTTCCATGCAGGGAAAGGTCATGCTTGATTTTGGGGGCAGCAGCAATATCTTCTGTAGTTTAAGGGGTTGGGATAGCATCTCCTACAGAACAAAAATGGAGCCAAGAAATTGGCATTAGGGCATTATCACAACAGCTGCCTCAAGCTGGATTCCTTTGATGTGGGGTAAGTACATTTTGGCACAGCTCCATGACTACAGCTTATAAGAAATGCAAAAGAGAAACAGAACTCCCCCAGCATCCGATGTGACTATTTCTTCCACACCACTGTTAGCTCGGTCAGGTCCAAACTCTCCTCTCCATTGATAGCAATGCTGCTAATTATGCTCCTACAGCAGTTCCTTGCCCTGCTTGCATATCTGCTTTTGTTCCTGAGACTCTGAAACCTCATCTGCAGCAAGAAGATATTTTTCCCACCTGTCATGGAAAGATTCACCATCATTTACAACAGACAGACGTCTGACCAGAAACAGGAGCTCTGGAGTAGCCTGCAGGAGTTCACAAACACCTCAGAGGAGCTGGTGCTGATGGATATTAGTTGTGGTACTGGAGCCAACTTCCAGTTCTATCTGTTGGGATGCCGAGTGATCTGCACAGACTGCAACTTTGAGAAGTTTCTTTTCAGGAAAATTGCTGAGAATCAGTACCTCCACATCGAGAATTTTGTGGTAGCCCAAGTTCTCTGCTGAATCCTGGTGCAGTGCTTGATGCAAAGTACACCTCTACCTCGATATAATTCTCTCCTCGGGAACCAAAAAATCTTACTGTGTTATACGTGAAACTGCGTTATATTGAACTTGCTTTGATCCACCGGCGTGCGCAGCCCCACCCCCCCAGAGCACTGCTTTACCGTGTTATATCAGAGTTCGTGTTATATCGGGTCACGTTATATCGGGGTAGTGGTGTATAGAGAAGGGGTGGAATCCACAAAGGAATGTAGGTGCCTAAACCCTAAGTCCCAGTTTTGGCTCCACTGTGATCCACAAAACTCTTGCCAAACCCTGTGAAGGCCTGTCTTAACATGAGTAATTAAACATGGGGGTGGGGGAAGCCTCATTTCTTGGAAGACAGGATTAGGAAGGTAACTAGATCAGCAGGCTGAAAACAGAAGATAAGTAAATAGGTGCTAAGATAAGTAAATAGGTCACTAAGCTAAAAGACAGAATGTCTGAGCTAGCTTAAAATAAGAGGGGGAATACCCAGAAAATCATTTACTAAAAACAAGCTAACAATGGATAAGAGAAGACTGGAACACAAGATGCAGTGAAGAGTAAGTTGGGCATGGACAGAACATGCTGTAGAAGAGGGATTGGTTCCTACAAAATGACCAAGTCAACCCCCAAAATGTGATGCACTGTATTGTGTAAATGTATATAAAGGAAGAGGTTTGCTGTGTAACTTTGAATGTGTGGCACACACTATACCCGCCTCCTACGTTTGAGCCTGATCAACTCCACATAGCTTTGCTGTATGCCAAATAAAAGCACCTGAGTGTTGAGACTGAAGTCAAACAGGGTTCTCTGGGAACCGAGTGGAAATAGGTCTCAGGGAAACCTCAACACGCTGTAGGTGCTTAAGCTCACTCAGCACCTAAGTTTTCAGAGTAAAAGTTCCCAAGCCACCTAAGTTTCTGCTTCACTCTAAGCATCAGGACATTATTTCCTGCCTAACCCCCAGAGTGATTCACAGACTAGGGAAAAACAGGAATTCAGCCATTTAAATCGTTCAGGGCTCGAACTGGTAGGCATGCTCAGAAACCACCTACCAGATCAGGTCCCATTCAGAAGGAGCCAGCCACCTTATGAATTTTAAATGAATGGTTAGCACAGTTGCATGGGAGTGATGTGGGAGAACCATGTTTAATTCCCCCCTCTGCCAAAAATAGAGAAAGAATTTGAATAGGGGTCTCCCACCTCTCAGGAGAGTGCTCTAACCAATGAGCTATGGCATCTTCTGACATAGGGTTCCCTCAGTCTCTCCTGTTGAAGCTGTTCCCCTGTGGCTAAATAATAAAGAGTAGTTGGAGCATGGGACTGGACCCAGGGTCTCCCACCTTCTAGACAAACCCTTAGCCACAACATTGAAAATGAGACAGGGTTGCTTTAAGAGAGAGGGCGGAAACTGTTATCCGAAACTTGCTAAACGTTAAGCTTTAGGGACTGCCAGCACGTTGCATCAGTCAAGTTCCACACTGCAGGATCCAGCCTATATCAGTTCATCATATAACCAACCAGCTTCCAGACTGCCTCAGTTGTTCCTAACAGAGCAGTTAGTCTTTTTTGCTCAAGTTTCAGCCAGGACCTTTACACTGGATTTTGAAATTGGCTGTAGAAGCTGCCTACTAGATCAGTACAAAGAGCAGAAAATAACCCCAAGAGTGAATAGAGCGGCTTCATAGACTCACTCTGCATTCTGCCTAAACTTCAAGGGATCTTATTTTTAAATAAGCAGGCTCTTCTCAGGGCAAGTCCTACTGAGAAGTGGGAATGGCAAAGGCAGTGGTCCTGTTTCTCCGTGTTTGTGTGCAGCTGCTTGCCCTGCCTATATACCTGCTATCATTCCTGGGCATATGGGACCCATTCTGTAAGAAGATATTCTTTCCCTTCTTCATGGAGAAGTTAACTGCAAGTTACAACCGGAGGGTGTCAGGGCACAAACAAGAGCTGTTCTGCAACCTGCAGGAGTTTGCAGGCCCCTCGGGGGAACTGACTTTGCTGGAGATTGGGACTGGCACTGGCGCCAACTTCCAATTCTACCCACCTGGCTGCAAAATTACCTGCACTGACATAACCCTCAACTTCCAGCACGGTCTCTCCAAGAGCATGGCACAGAATCAGCACCTCCAGTTTCAGCCCTTCCTAGTGATCCCAGGGGAGGACTTGAACCAAGTGGCTGACAGCTCTGTGGATGCAGTGGTTTGCACCTTGGTCCTGTGCTCAGTGCAAAGCATAGAGGGTGTCTTGAAAGAAGTTTTGAGAGTACTCAGAGCCGTGAGTATTTAAGAAAAGATATTTCCTATACTATTATTACCTATTCTACAGCCACTGGACCAGATTCTCCAGTGACCTTCAGCTTTTTGCCACTCTGGAGATGCAAAGCTGCCACAAACCTCATTTATTTGGCCAATTAAATTGGACTTATATCCACTTTGCATACCAAAGAGGTGCAAAGCAGTAGGAGCATATTGGTCACTTTGCCCCATTATTCTTAGGCCAACTGTGTTTTGTGCATTCAACTCCCAATAACTTCAGTGGAAATTGGGACACATGCAATTTAAGGCAGAATTTTAATTTTTTTCCCTACAAGGGATTTTTCTTTTAGAAAAAAGCAAATTCTCAGTCTACCATGGTGAAACATCTTGTCGGTTAACACAGGGCCCCACCCAAAAAAAGTATTTAAATTTTACATGGGAGATATCAAAAGATTGGTCATTTCTATCTACACCAGATATGGATAAAATATTAAGTCAGTGAAGTTTAAAGTTTTAGGATGTTATAGGTGAAATATTAGAGCTTTCCTAGACAGCATGGTCCAATGGACAGGAGATCTCAGTTCTGCTAGTCAGGAAATCTAGGTTCTACTCCTGCTCTGCCACTGACTCGCTGTGTTATCTTGGACAAATCACTTAACATCTAAAAAGAAGTGCTGATCTCATCCTTGAGGTTGAAATAACCATTCCTTTAACTCCATTCCCCTTATTTGCTCATAACTTTCTGTAAAGAATTCCATCTGGGTTAAAACTCCCTGGTCCTGATTTTCAACTGCTCCATTCCTGAGCAGGAATTTCAACCTTAATGGTGGGATTTTTAAAAGGGACCTAAGTATTCCCAAATCCCAATTCATTTTAATGGGAATTAAGCATCTCTCTCTCTCAGGCTCCTTTGAAAACCACATCCTAGTAGTTTTACTCTTAACAAAAACACAAAGTTCTGATTACTGCGAAAGATAAATAGAGTTAAAGAAACCAGGTACCAGCAAGCACATCTTTTGTCTTTTTAGAACTTATTGATATGGATTTTAAACACCTCTGCAAAAATATGTAATTTTCTGTTTATTTTAAAATGTACAGGATTAAAAGAGCAACTTGGGGGGAGGGGGGAAGTATTTTGATACTGACTGAAATGTATGCAAAGAAAGCCTCAATTCCAAGTGTATAAATTGCTGAGGGAGAAAAGGCAGAACAGAAACTGAGTTTTAAGAGCACAAAGAAAAGTTATGCAAACTGCATATCAGTTCCTTCATGTATAAAATCTTTCTAAATTGTTTTGTTTCCCCAGGGTGGGGCATTTTATTTCTTAGAACATGTAGCTGCAGATCCTACAAGCTGGAGCTATTTTTGGCAGCAAGTCTACTATCCAACTTGGAAACTTGTGTTTGATGGATGCTACCTCACAAGAGAGATCTGGAAAAACCTTGAACAGGCCACGTTTTCAGAAATAAAGTTACGGCACATACAAGTCCCATTATACTGGACTCCAGTTCAGTCTCATATCATCGGATATGCTATAAAATAATTCTCACTGTGCTGCGACGTATGCACTTTTTTATGTTTGCTTCTGTACAAATCATCTACAGTAACTCCTCACTGAACGTTGTGTTGTTCGTTGCTGATCAATTAGAGAACATGCTCATTTAAAGTTGCACAATGCTCCCTTATAACGTTGTTTGGCAGCCACCTGCTTTGTTCACTGCTTGCAGAAAGAGCAGCCTGTTGGAGCTACCTGTTGGGGGCTTGAAACCAGGGTGGACCCGCACCCCCCCTTCAGCTCCCCTAAGTACCCTGTGCAGCAGCCGCCCAGCAGGCTATCAATTGCCAGGTAGTTCAGCTGTCTCTCCCCCCCACTGCCCTATGCTGCTCCTGCCCCTCTGCCTTGGAGCCTCCTGCTTGCTGTGCAGGGGCGGGGGGAGAAGAAGAGGGATACTAATGTCAGGGTGTCCCCCTCTCCCCACTCCGGTACCCTATCTCCACAGAGCATGGGGGGGGGACACCACAGGACTCTGGATGGAGGGAGCTTGCTGGCAGCAGCAGCTGCTGTCTCAACTTGCTGATCTACTTAAAAAGACAGTGTATTTAGAGTGGGGTCAGCATATTTAAAGGGGCAATGCAAGTCTCTCTCTGCCATGCTGTGTCTCCTCCCTCCATTCGTGCTGCCTTGTAGAGTGTGAGGCTACATTAACAACTTGTTAACCCTTGAGGGCTCAGCCAAGTGCTAGTTCATCATTTAGCAGTAAGGCATTCCCTGGGAAATAGCCCACCTTCTGACTCCATCACCTCAACCAAGCTTCACAATCATCATTGCTGGGTACAGTATTAAATTGTTTGTTTAAAACTTATACTGTGTGTATATATATATATATATAAAATATAGTCTTTTGTCTGGCGAAAATAATTTCCCTGGAACCTAACCGTCCTCCCCTGATTTACATTAATTCGTATTAATTAATTAACTCGGGTGTCACGGTGGCCGAGTGGTTAAGGCGTTGGACTCGAAATCCAATAGGGTTTCCCCGCACAGGTTCGAATCCTGTTCGTGACAGCGCCGCGCTTTTGTAGGGGGGAGGGATAGCTCAGTGGTTTGAGCATTGGCCTGCTAAACCCAGGGTTGTGAGTTCAATCCTTGAGGGGGCCACTTAAGGATCTGGGGCAAAATCAACACTTGGTCCTGCTAGTGAAGGCAGGGGGCTGGACTCGATGACCTTTCAAGGTCCCTTCCAGTTCTAGATGGGATATCTCCAAAATTTATGTGGAAATTGGATTCGCTTAGCATCGTTTCACTTGAAGTAGCATTTTTCAGGAACATAACTACAACATTAAGCGAGGAGTTACTGTAGTTAATTTACTCACATGTAATTAATGGTCACTCTTAAGCAAAGAGCAAGACATACATTAATCCTGAGATCTCAGTACAAGTAATACTAACATGACTATACTTCTGTCACGTTAAATTTCTGATTCAGAAGTCAATCCCATGAGGAACAAACCCAGTATCTAGATGTCTTTAGACATAAATATTCTATGGGTAGGAGGTTGTGTGCAGGTAAATTACTATAATTTGGGACATATTAAGTTCCAGTTTGAATGGAAGTACCAGAATTCTGCCTGGGCCACGTGTTTCATACCATTGTCCCTTCCACTGTGCATGGCGGACACTAAAAAAAAAAGGAAAATCCTTCTTCTTAGTTTTATCAACAAGGACGTTGCGGAAAACATTGTCTTGGAGAGGCTGTGTCTATACTAGCCTTTTTTGAGAGGTCTATCTCACTGGTGCACTGCCCCACTTACAGCAATAAAGAGGTACATTAGTGTAGATAGGGCACTAGCATTTTTACCACAATCTGTCTCATCTAAACCTGTTGAAAGCAAGGCTAATACAGAGGCAAAAATACTGGTGAAAACTACTGCTTCCACAGCAGTTATCCCCAGTGGAACTGCCCTGGTAACACAACAGTGGGAGATATCACATAAACATCTGGCCAAGAATACTTATTCTCTAACTATTCAGGGAAATATCTTCCTAAATATGCCCTTTTATCTTGGCAAGTTCCTTCAGATAATCATTAGTTTATTTTCACCACCAAACGACAATTGAGAAACAAGAGTGAAAATAAAGCTTGTGGTGGGAATTGCTTTCTATAAAGTTACATCTTTATTTCCACCCTCTAGCTTGCTAGCCCTGCTCCTATCTCTCCTGCCTTGGTTTTGCACCAGTAGTTAGCTTTTACTCACCATAGGTTAGTAGGTAGGTACTTGACCCTAATAACATATAAACTCCATTCAGCTGCAAAAATTTATTGGCTAGAGAATGCAACGTTCTCTAATATTATCCATTCCCTGCTCTTTTCGTAATAGTTATCAAGCTATTTTAATACATCTCATGCCATTCAGATAGCTGAGGTGGTAGTATAATCAATTTAACTATAACTTTGCTACTGCACTGGAATGTTGGAAGATTTTTTAAGCCTGTGTCAAAGTCTACCACTTTGTGTGATATTTTTATATTGTTAATTACCCAACCAGTCAAATGAGTCAGAAATTATACTGTGAATCAAAGCTGACAAAAGTGAGGTCTAAAGGATACAATTTCTCCTTGGGTGAAATCCTAGCCCTAACAAAGTCAATGGTGTTTTTTCCACTGACTTCAGTGGAGCCAAGATTTCACCCCCATCTGCAGCAATAGTACCTTTGTATTATGATTGCAGCAGATCTTCTAGGCAAAACAGGAAGCCTTGCTTAGTATTTGTATGGGAGAATAATCACTGAAACCCCTACAAATGGTGCAGGGCTCTGGCAGCATGTGTCTCACGATCTTGATCTCTGTTAGACTTTTTGCTCTCCTACAATTACTGAGAACATTACTGATAAACACTAACCTGTAGCTAATCTGCCCAGTTCTTGTGATGCATGAATGACTGAAATCCTTATTCCTCTCAGCAGTAGGTATATCTTTGCAAAGAAAAAAGTTGTGGTCCCGTAGCAATGTTATTCTATGATAGAACCATATTGTTTCTCAAAGGGGAAAAAAGTCACTAGAGTAGTTGATAGAAACAATTTCTCGGAGAAATTAAATGAAAACATGGAATTTTCAAACTGAAAGTGTGTGGTTTTGTTTTGTTACTGGAGAATTACACCTGTCTCTTCCTCTCCTGCCCCCAATCCACAGAAATCAATTAAGGGTTGCACCCAATTGCTAAGGCAACCCCCATTCCCTCACACCACCCTTCCCCATAGACCTGCTTTCTCCCAAGCCATCACCACTGCTGCACCTGTTCCCCTTTCCACCAAACCCTGCGCCTTCTCCTTTTGTCCCCCTAGACAGCCCCCGCCCCATAGCCTCTTCCCCTGTTCTCCCCCTACAGACTCAACCCCTCCTTCCCCAAACTGTGCCCCAGGCCCGATCCTATTGTCCACTCCTCCCCTCCAACCTCACCCTGCCTGCCTGCCTCCCTCACACCTTCTCCCCCCCGCCCCACACTCTGCCCCTTCCCCCTTCTCCGTCCGGGCCTGACATCTCCTCAGGGCCGCTCCCCCCGCCCCCCTTCCACATGGCCGCCACCGCAGCAGCACGCGACCAGGGCATGGCGCCTTTCCCTGGTCACGTGGCCAGG